GATGGTCGAACAAGAGGAAATTTGCTAACTTCTGTAACAGCTTTCAACAGATGTAAAATAACCACTCCAGGACTAAACCCCATTGCAGTTGCGCTCCAAATGAAGAATTTCCAAAGCAGACAGCAGCTGAATAATCAATAGAAGGCAACATCGTCTGCTCTTACAGGAATACGTCAGCTACCCAAGCAGAAGTTTGGTCAATACTCCTTACATGTTCAGCATTATGAGAACACACAAACACCCAAAACATTGTTAATACATACTGCATAGTCACCAACCATCCCACACTGCTTAAAGAGACACCAGGTCTACAACCCAGCAAAGACTTCCTCACACTTGGTCACAAGGCTCTGATCAAGAAATTCTGGCAGGTGTAGCTATGGTGACATGAAGGAGGCCCCCATTCTTTCTTTCCTCCTGTCCCCCCCTCCACTTTTGCCCAAGGTCTCAGGGATCTTACCCAACCACTCAGCTCACATACAACATGGCATACTAACTTCATCCACAGTTCAGACAAATGTAACACATTTGGCTGTAACAGCTGAAATGAACATGTTCCCCTTCAACTGCTATATCCATAACCACCACAGCTGGCAGCATCAAAATCTTAAGTCACAGCAGCTGTTTGCACAGTGACTGTGCAATGACTGTGAGTCACATATGAACAGTTTTAAGTTTGCAGAAAGCCATTTAAGTCACTTTGTAGTTGAAATTCCAAATCTTTGTAATTGTGACCTAGGCAAATACCACCTAGTTTTCAAACTTTTCATTGTTATAGCATGTTTTATACATAACTGTCTTAACAGAGCCACTTCAAAGTCAGGAGCGTTGCAAGATATATATATATACACCACAAGATCTGGCCAAAACTATGTTATCATAATATTAAAAACAAGAGCAGATGGAGAAAATACCAACCTTATAAAATAAGGTTGATACTCATCTGCAAGATTCTAGAAAAACAAAAAAACACTACACAGACACATTTGGATCCTTTTCTACTAATCAGTTAAGATACTTCTACACAGTTTATTCTCTCAGTGTACCCTAGCATTTGTTGCTCAACAGAAAACAGGCTACAACACTCAAGTGAACCAATTTCAAGTGAAAGCTACTTGCCACCAAAAGTCTTCTAATGTGAGAATTCATTCCAGATACTTTCCTATGAGCATATGCAGTACTAACATGCAATTAAAGTGTTTTACAAAATAACTACTGAGACATTAGTGACCACTGCATTTCCTCACTTAGAGGTGCACTTAAAATGCAACTTCTCACAGGCTAGCAGCGTTCACAATTGGTTCTCAGAGCTGCTAATACTTCTCCCCCCACCCCAAGTTATGCTACAAAAATAAAAGCAATGCTTTTGTTTTATCTCAGGTTCTATTTTAGGTAGAAGACAAAGACCACAGACAGGGGGCAGGGAAAAAAAAAGGTGTTCATTTTTGGGAGGGGTTGATGGTTTTTCTTTTTAACTACGATATGCATAGCCTACATATTTCTACAACAGAAGAACATACTGGTAACAGCAAGGTTTAATCAGTAGAAAGTAAACTACTATGAAAGCCTCAAAACAATATCAGCCAGCACATGGCATGTTAATATTAATTAAAACAAGTAGTCAGTATAACAGAAGAAAAAAGTGCAATAAACTCAGACATTGTAGATTCAATGTCTATGTTGTTGTTTTACTTCATGTACTTCCCTTATGTTATGAATATTTTCAAAATAACTTGTTTCACACATGACATTTATCTTAGCACACTAGAACTTAAATTGCATGATCACATCCCACTGTCAACTTTTGACCTGCTGGAGTGCAGAGGCTATTTTCAATAAAACCAATAGATGATATATAATCAAAAAGCATGAGAAACGTTAAGTCCACAGCAAGTTACTGGCAAAAAGGTTACCTTCTGCTGCCATGATATTTCCCTTGAAAGCAATGAAATTTATACCTTTCTCTCCACAAAATGCACAGCCTGCTAGGTTCTCATTCCAGCGTCCATTGATGCAAACCTTTGATGGCCTTATTACAAATATATCACCTAGCCTCTTATACACTTTCTTAGCATGTGCTCTATTAACCAGAAGCAATCCATCTTTGGAAGTGTTATACATTTTAATTCTTCCTATGTATATATATTTCTGTTTTCAAGCCAATAACATAATTTGCTGCTGTCTTGGTATTTTCACAGCTTACAATGGATTACATGGCAACCTTCCAACTCTATAATAACAGATCACCAGACAGAGGTCCAGCTTATCATGTCAGCTCCTTCACACAGCTGTCATTTGTCTTCTTGCTAGATTCTTCCAACACTGACACAATATTTATTGCACTGGTAAGAACCAGGCCAGTGTTCAAAATTTTATTTCAGAGCACAGAACAGGATCCTCATGCTTATTAATGGCTTCTGTGGTCATACATTCCTTGCTTCACTCCAGATTTAACCTCTGCTTTATGTTTGAAGCCCTGCAGGTTAATTGATTCTGCTTTATTACTTATTTTCTTCTATTAAAGCATAGCTCTGCCATTTTGCTACTAAATTTCTTACTGGTCTTAGTGAAACATTCTTTGCCTGCTCATTTAAGCTCAGCTCTATTTCTTCCCACCTCATTTTTTCTTCTCTGTTTATCTGCAGCAGGAAGAGAGGTTGCATATTTTAGTCATTCGGTTATCTGTCCACAGGTAGCTCTCCATCTAAGCCCATCCTTCCCCAATTTTCATCCCCAGGTGCCAAAAGCTTTGTGTCAAAGCTATTGCTTCTTTTTAGAAAAGGTCTGTCCCTTTTCTAAAGTTTCAGAATCCATCAAACACCTGGCGTTTAATCACCTATGACAGCAGTACAACCCACTTGCTAAACTTATCTTGCACACTGGCCCCACAAGCTAAAAAACTACAAACACATGGCAGCATATTGTCTCAGGAGTTCTGGGAACAGTCCCTGAATTGTTATCTACAAAGTATCATCTACAATGAACGTAGACTTGCCTTATCTAGAAGGCACAACACTTATCACTTATCAAGTAGGGTGCAGACTACTACTCAAGAAGCTGTATTTGAATTTTTCATCCCTTTCCCCATGTAAAGGGAAGAAAACACCAAGCTAGAATTCTGTCTCTTCTGGAAGCAAGCTGCACTTGCAGAGCTGTACACCTGCACATTTGTCATGTGTGCCATTATTTGGACTCGTGCCTCACTCTGAGGATGGGAACTGCACTATTCTACCCAACTATTCACAACCTGGTAACATGACAAGGAAGTTGCAGGAAAAGCTGAGCATTTAAATGCATCTCTCCATTCCATCATATCAGTATCAGATCCATACCTCCGTTCACAATACAGATGAACTGGACTGACTGGCAATTTCCAGGCCATTTGCTCAGATTTACGGGACACCTAACAAGTTTTACATATAAAGCAACACATCCTGCCAAGAATTGCTAGTTAAATAGCCATCCATTTTACTACCAGAGAGGATTATGATTCACCATCTTAAAAAATATTTTAAATGAATATAACAGCAGGAAAGTTCACATCAGATATCTGCAGAACACAGTATGAGGATCCTTTCGTGCTGGGCACCTCTAGAACAGTGAGGCTGGTAAGACTGGAGAAGATTAAGATCTTTCAGGCACAAATTCAGAGAATACCCATCAATATCAATGGAGCTAAATGTAAGTTTCTTTTCCAAAATCATTGAAACATGACCTATAATTTAAGATGCTGCCTTTTGCTGGAGCAAAAGAAAAAATACCAGTCACATGTATACCAAGGGCAAAAGAGAAGAGGCAAGTATTTCTCACCAAGCTACAATTTTAACCGTTTCTGAGCTGGTGGATGATACAGTTTGACAGTTCTCACACAACAGTTGCTTTCCAAACTGAAGCTTCACAAAGGTTCTTACAGAATGAACGTACTTTCCTTCTACTGTATTTTAAATTCCAGTTTTTCATCTCAGTAAGCAATGATGTGACTTTGCTGTTGTTCTGGTTTCTTAAGGAAATAAGAATCATCTGACCATAACGGTCATTTCAAAGTCTGATGAAATAAAAGCCTCAGTTCCCACACACTCCATAAAAATATGCAGACATGTTGGAAGGATCTAAATGAACACTTCCACTGAGGGAAAGGCTCACCATGAGCAGAACGGTTAGCTGTTCTGTCTGGCCAACTGCTAAACCATCATCACATACTCACTGAATCAATCTGTACATATGTAGCTATGTCATTTGCTTGCTTCTTGTCCAAGCAGTAATTGAGGCCACAGAAGGGAAGTCACTTAGAAACTGGAATTGGTAGAGAAAGTAAGGAGAGAATCTAAGGAAGTAAGACAGAGGCCTAAGATGAAATCTGGGCTTATCAGTTCTTCCCCCCATATTATCACATGCATAGCCACAGTTAAAGAAAAAAAAAAAAAAAGCCTGCATCTCCATACTAGGTTTATTCATGGTGCATGTGCAACTGGAAAGTGCCAAGACAAAGACCATTTAGCATGTTTAGTAAACATTCTTTTAAGTCTTTGGAAATAGCTGACCTTTTCTCCTTCTAATAATAGTTTAAGGCATTTTCCTTATGGAAACAAGCTTGCTTTATTTCCGGCTCAGCTGCAGGATTCATCCCATGAAAGCAGCTACAAGGAAACAAGGAGAATCAGACAAACCTAGGCACTATCTTCCATATTAAACCCCCAGAGAAGTTGGGAGAAATCTTCACACATTTCAAAGATAAGTTATTTTTCCTTAGAATGCTTTATACAAGACAATAATTCTTTGACCATAAGTCAAAACTGTAGTTGGCCATCAGTCAATCCTCACAGTCAGTGGCCCAGAAGAGCTACAAAATTCAGAGGTGATATGGGATGCTAAAAATCTTCTTAGCAGATGGAAGATAGTCCCACGAGGAGAAGCACAGCTTTGTTTTTTTTCCCTCCTCTCTCCAACCTGAAAAGAAAGTTACTTGGCACCAAGACAGCTCTAAACTAATACTTTTGACTGGACTGAAAAATTCTTCAAGATCAGAGACCATACTTGTGAGTAAGCAGTGTACATTTATGCAGTGTCTGAAAGCTATCCCATTGACAGCTCCAGCTGAAAGAGGAGCAAATATTTAAAAGGAATCTATTGCCCAGCTAAGCACAGTAGCATCTGAAACACAAGGCAGCTTGTGCTATTACACTTCAGTTTCATCTCCTCATTTTCTCAAATGAATGGGGATTGTAAGACATCTGCAAATGGCATCTGCAGATACCAGGTAGTGACAAAAACTATGAGGCTAAAGAGATTTAGGTAGAAGCAAGCAATTTATGCATCTTAACAGCTGACATAATACACATGGCTAATGGGCTAGAAATAAGTGATCCCTTTTTCTCTCACTATTCTGTAATCCAGCCCTCACATCTCATTATTTAGGAAACCCAGGCCTATTTAACCAAAGTGCAAACTGTCACATGTAGTCCTGGCATTCTGTATGTCTTGTGCTAAATTATCACTTGTCAACAGGTTTCATTCATCTGTCCAGGACAGTCAGGCTCCAAAAGATGTCTTTGGCCTATGCAAGACACCTGAAATCTCATCAGCCAGGAGTTTCCTCAGTGCTTATCTGAGGACTCACTTCACACAGTGGGGCTAACCTCTGAAAGTCTGCCATGCAGTAACAGCAATACTTATCTGCTCTGAGAGCCAAAGGAAACTTGGGTACATAGAGGTTCCTCAAGTTAGAGTTCACTTATTCTACGTATAGCTCAGGTAGAAATTTCCTTTTTACAGGCTGAACCTCTACCTAAATCCTCTATTTGCCTGCTACAACAGCACATTTGATATTCCTCTCCCAAGGCAGAAGCACTACACAGAAAGGATCAGACAATAAAAGATATCCCATCATTACAGAGTCATCTGAAGGGTAGAACAAAAACTCCATCTCACACCCATCTATTTATTATCTGTTGTTTCTGCAGAGTCTATTAAAATGCTATAAACAACTTCTTTTTGCATAGACCTCTAAAGTAACAGCCAGCAAGAGCTCAAGTAAGCTTTACTTGCAGCCTGCCCTTAAAGCAGTGTCCTCTAATTCAAGATTAATACCTGAGTCAGCAACCCTCACACACCATAACTGTCACTATGCCTAAACAAATTGGAATACTACGGAATGGGAGGCAACCCAGACCTTGGTGGCAAGTGATCTGCAATGGGAACTTTTTCTAATGCAGACAATTAGAAGAACCACACAGAAAATTAGTATTTCCTGCTGGCAGGGCCATCTTTCTGAAGATTAAGGTGGAGAAGCCATCTTCAAGGTCCATCACCCTAAGTAATACAGCGCTATGCACTGTAATTTGTGTTCGTTCAGGCATTTGCTCTATGCTGTACTTCAGATTCTGAAGTGTTGTAAAGCAAAAAGCAGAAAGGCTTTGCTGTGCATCAATTGTATGTTGCAATTACATTTTTCGTATTTTAGACACGTATATTAAACTTGGCCTGCCCAGTTCCAGAAATGATACTAAGGAGTACAACCAGCTAACCAAGTTTTTCATTTCGGTTTGTACCCACCAATGCCCAGGGGGTGCTGTGGGACTGTAGGATGGCTTTCGCAATACGGAAGAGAAGATTGATGTTTTCACAAGTGACTTGAATTCACAAGTGTCCAGTCAAGCTTTATAGGTACATGGCTTCTGAATAAGCACTGAACTGACATTCCCAGGAACTAGGTCCCTTCAGGACACAGCCAGCTAAGGACCTAAAAGTGCCAGTCACTGAAGTTTCAGTCTAAGCTTAGGCTTGTGATTAAGACTCCTATGCTCTTTATAGAGTAATTTCCACTGTTTACAGTATTTAAAGCAGGACACAGGAAGCACCTTGCAACATTCTGGACTACTGTTAAAAACAGTTTTTAACAGTATGGATGTTAGACCACTCTTTAAAGAGTCTGTACCAAACTGACCAACTTCTCTTTTAATGGATTAGAGGTTCTACCATCAATTGCTACAAGATGCCATCTTTCACATGGGCTAGTGCATATGAAGCTACTTTATAGCTAGCTGGTACCCATATCAACACCACTGTTTCTTCAGTTCAACAGTGAGACAAGTAGGCAGGAAGGTGAGGGGAGAGGGAGGAGGCTACTTCACCTCCTTTCCCCTCAGTGCTTGTGTCTGTTCTATAATATTCTACCAGAACATACTTAACACCAGTAATTTGTTTACCATTCCACTCCAGAAAGGCCCAGAACAGGATGTTTAAGAGGCATACGATATTCTAAAAGTAGACTTACATGGTCATTTTCAATGTTTTGCAGCAGTCTTGGGTCATCAAATTCACATGATTCACTGGTGGAAGGAGGTAGCTGGCTGCAGAGCAAGAAGTAAACCTTTTCAAACATCAGTGGCAACATTTCCACTCTTATTAGTTCATTTATCTTGTTGGGAAGTAGAAAAAAGTTAAAATAGAACTACACTGTCCTTGAAAACATTGTGAACATGGTGAATAAATCATATGAATTCTGCTCATTTACAGCATTTTGCTATAAAGTTCTTCAGAACACTAGCAAGAAACTCAAACTGATTATGCTTGAAGGTACGGTTGAAAGGTTTCAAATGTCAACCCACCTCAGATGTAGCAGAAGCTACTTTAAAGTGTACTTGAATTGCATTTATTTCAAGGTGACTTGCTTTGAAATTGGTCAAAGATCAAAATCCCTATGCTCCACCTCTTTAGTGGGAGTGGGTTCTGCTCTAACTTTAGCCCTGGAGGAATAGTACTACTTCCAGGTAGTAACCTGGAAGAACTCTTCCTCAAAACTGACTAGAAAGGATGCAAGGAGAGAAAAGACAACAGTGGCAGAAGCAGCAACATAAGTGAAGAAACAAAGAGGCATCTACTGAAATTCCCTCTCAGTGGAAGTAGCAACAGGTTATATGGGAAATACTTCTTCCTAAAAGGTGACCACAAACGTCAACAGGCTTAACAAAGAAGCTTAACTCATTTCAGCAGAAGTGGCTTCCCAACAGCCTTCAGTGTCTGCCTGTTTTATAGGTGGGAACTCATTTCTTACCTATAGTTGTCATTCAAAGTCACTTTAGCCCTCTCCAGCTCTACGCCCCTTCCTCTCAACAGGAATATGCTGCAGTGACACCTCCCACATAATGCTTCCTTCTAGGTTTTCACTCCATTCTGTAGAATGGGTCAGACCCCACCCCTCTATTCACTAAGTCCCTAAGTAAAGAGGAGTGGTTCTTTTGACATAAGAAACTCTTCCACATCCAGCTCTTCTCCAGTTTTCACATATTAAAAACCAGCATTTTAATAAAAGCGCTTTCCACTTCTTGTCAGGCTTGAACCTAGTGATTGCAAAGGGTAACATTCAATTTCTGGCTAGGGAAGTAAGTGTACTGTAAAGAAGGTTATTCTCAGCTTGCAGCTTGGTTGTCTGCATTTACAAACAAGCGCTGGCATGCATTCAAGCCAGCCTAGCCACAGTCTACCCTCCACCCCTTACCTCTCTCCCTTATCTTCCAACTAGTAAGGGAGAAGTTGCATCACCACGCACTACCTCTGTATAAGTGCTCTTCCAGTAGGAGCCTATACTCAAACATTACTACCTTAGGCTTCTTTAAGTCTCAAATTTGACAACAGTCTGTTTATACAGCTAGTCCCCACTCTACTATACAGAGCACACATCTTAGTCAGAATATATTTACCTGAAGTCTTCTGATGAACGCTCCGTTTCCAACTCTGGAAAGTGACTAAGGGGTAAGAAGAGAGAAAAAAAGAACATTTATTCCATTTTGCAAGCTAGCAAATAGGTAGAAGATAAAGATCAATGGATCTTCACACATACAAACATATGGGAACCATGGGTTCAACTGCTTGTAGGTCTGAACCAAGTTTTCTACCTTTCAAGAGACCCAATTAAAAACATCATGCAACTCAAAGGCTGATTTGTATGGAGATCTTAAGTCTAGCCTTTTAAAACTAAGCGAAGCCAACTAAAACAGCGTTCAAGGCTCAGAAGGCCAACTGCTATGAATTCAAAGGGAGCCTTTCTGACAGAAACAACAAATAGAATAGTAAGTGGGCATTCCTTCTGTACAGCCTAGAACTCTTTGCTGCTGACAGCTACAACTAGAGTTATGTTTGTGCTTTATTTGATGAAGTCACAAAATGACATTCACTGTCCTTGGGTTGGATCTGCTTCCCTCAGGAGCAGGCCAGAGATTATTTAGCACTTAGCACTTCTGGTTTAATTTAAGCCATGATCAGCACATTAAGAATCAGATTCAGCCACCTCCTCCTTTCATTTCAAGTACTTCCCAGATTTGCATTTTGTAATTTGTGTTGCAAGACATGAAAATGAAAACTGTTAGCTGTGACCATAAAATATACTAATATACGAATAACTGAAGAACAGAATGTTCTAACCCTGTTCCAGTACAAAACTATATACTATTAATAAACACGTATTTAGCTACAGAGTTTCTAAAGCCATACCTACCCATATGTTACTCCAGCAATACTACATTTCTTAAAGTTCATAATATTGCATGTCAGAGTACCTGTTTTATCAGAAAACAGGTATTTCACCTGGAAGGAAAAAAGTTTAATTAATCTTCAACTTGCAAAGTGACAAAATTCAAACAAGCAGAGAAGAGATTAAGCATGGGAAAAATTCTAGAAGAGACAAAATGTTCAGCAATATTACAGCAATATTGGCCAATGCAGGCTTATTACAACTTGATTTGTCTTACTAAAGCTATAGGTGCAAAAAGAATAGTTATTTTATGGTATTTTGTATTTACTCCTAAATGCAGTAAGGCCCAGATAATTCATATTAGTTGCCATAGCTCCAGTGTAGTCAGAGATGTACTTGTTTACACTACTTGAAAAATTCACTGAATCTTTCAACTATTTTAACATCAAACAGCAAGACTGGAAATTAAATGAAGACTCGTCAGGTTCATGAAGAATTATTAAGTTTTAAAACAAAGAATATCCTGTGATTCAAAGATCACTGGATTTCCTCCCCCTCCAAATAGTGCAGTGCAAAGGACATCCAAAAGTAAGCCCAAGTGGTATTTTGCAGGCAGACATGTTTGCTCCTCTGGTATCCAGAGGAGACTATCATGAACAAGCCCTGAAACAAAAGATGCACAGCCATAGTCAGCACAGCCCAAATTAATAATCCCTGATGAAACCAGTGACTTTCAGCTAGAATTTAAGACCACACTAACACAGCAACACAACCTCTTGCGGGAGTAGCACATTCAAGACTTCTCACCTTCAGTAGGCCACAACAGGTCTACATTAATTACAACTCAGTTTTCATGGTTCTTTGCTCCTTCTTTTGGATTCACCTAAATTCCACACTGCCTTACTTCTGGATCAAGGAACATTTTAAATCAGCAATCATTAGGAAAGGATATTGCTAACACAGGAGTCTGTCAGTTTAAAGACAAGAACATTTTGCCTGGAGTGTCATTCATAATTCATAAATAAAGTAGGAATAGAACAACACTTAAAAACACATCTATGACCAAGCAATTAAATTAATGAATCAAAAAACTCATCTAGTTACTTGGTGTCAACACTAACCAGTTTCTGAAAAATAATGTACAGGTCTGCAAGATATATTACTTCATATAATATAGTTCACTTTGGAGACACAAACATTATGATCTAAAGGCTGACGCTTTCACAGCTAAACAGTTAAAGTACGAATCAGAAGTTTTTAATAATCCTAAGAAAAATACCAATCTGACTGATTAAGCAGGAAGCATACTGACAATCAACCTGCTAAACAGCACATAGCAAATATATATTTTGCATATATGCAAATTGACTCCACGACTAAACTCATAGCAAGTATGAGGTTCACGCGGTTAAGTTATATACTTATATGATTTGGGTAGTCAGGAAAAAAACCTTCATCTGCATGGAAAATGGAAATGCTTGAAGGGACAACCCAAATTAGGAATAAAACTTCTTATTTTTTTGACTTGCATTTCTTGGTCAGAAGCACGGAGACCTAAGAACATAGGCTGTTGGGCTGCCTTTCAGGCAAGATAGGCCATGCACATTCTGTTCTTCTGACAGAGAGTCACAACCACAGAGCAACTCTTCAAAACAAGTCATTTTAGAGTTCAGGCACTGACTTGAAGTGAGTGAGCCTCACTGAACGAAGTGAGGCTTCAGTTCCCAGGCTTAAAATTGCCTATATAACCTTGAATTTACTCCTGCGGTGCCTTATCACTCAGTGCTGGTGAGACTCAGACTAATGAAAGTACAGAAGTTCCATTAACCTATGCCACAGAATAGCAGAGAATTAAGAATATCTTCTGACAGCATGTTTTCATGCCTCCCATTTTCTGAGATCACATCACAGACATGACATTTCTGAACAAGTTCTCTTACCTGCCCAAGTTCCTCATTAAGGTTTGAGGTTCTGGCCATTGCAGGTGTATCTGTTTCAGGATAATACATATCTATGTCCTGAAAGAAAACCAAAATTAGACCTAAACTATGTAAATTAAACACTGTAGTGCGATTGTCTTTTGGTCAGCTCCAACTTGGCTGTGACAGCTTAATCCCTTTGGAGGAGGTTCTGAAGGCTTGAGACACAAACATCATCCCTGACAAGAGTGGGATCTCCTTTCCAAAGTATATATACCTCCATGCTACATAAACACAAGCAAAGCTTAATTAAGTTATAGGTAACTGGCATCTTCCTCATTACATCTTCTTTTTAAGAATTCAGTACAATAAGAAATAGTTCTAGCAGGCATTAGCTATTCAAAGTTCTTAAAAAAAAAAAAAAAAGGCAATTTTCTTTAGCCACAACCACAATTAAAAAGACAAAATGCCTCATTCAGTGAAATCAGCTCTTGTTTCTATTACTGCATTTAATTGTGAGGGTCAATGAAATAGCTGCTATATGAACTAGGAAAGTAATTTCTCAGAAAAGCCATCTTGAATGTCCCTAATACACTATAAGCAGCTCAGAGCATATGCACTAGTTAGACCTTATTTACTTGCATTTCAGATGAACCCCTACAACTTTACAAAAAGCCCAAGGATGAACACATATCAAGATAAGCAACACTTTCCTTCCTCTTCTTACTGTTCACCTTTATGACACCACCACAATCATTTCTCTTCAAAATTGAACAGAAGTGCACTTTGAAGCTAAAGCTTGCCCAACAGAGTTCACTTTTTTGTGATTTTTCACCAGAAAATCTGGTAAAGATTTCTGTGTGAATATTTTTGTTACTTACCCAATTTATAAAAAGAGCCTGAGTAAATTTGACAACTTCCAGTGTTACCAGAAGACTGATTGGAATAAGGTTGTTGTACAAGATAATAAATGTCAGCAAATTGTATCCAAAATTGACAGACAGCATTTCTGTGAACCAAAGAACATGACATATTAGCATCCAGAGGGCAGAAATCCGAGTGGCACAGTAGAGGGGCAATCATTTTTCTACAGTTGGCCTGACGATATTTAGCAGCACTAAAATAATCAACAAGTGTGTTAAGGCTCTTAGTACAAGGGCCTTTTCAATGTTGATTTCAGTACCACAAACAAAATACCCACACAACACACACTTGGAGACACAGCATATTACGCCAAGTGAGAAGTGCAAGATTGGTGAGGCTAGATATTAGAGAAAAGAACACTTATTCTGCACAGTTTATGCTGAACAGATGGTGTGAAGTATTATATATCACATTATAATCCAAAATCCACATTATAATCCAAATTTAGAGATTTATCTGATGTGTCAACTGTCCCACTTAGAGCCACTAATTAAGAGTAACATAACTTTACCTTTCAAAAAGCGTTCTCAGTGTCTCGGTGGACAAAAAGTAAAAGATGCTTGACTGGCTCTCTGAAATGCCTGTACACTAATGCACGCAGCATGGGGAATAAGAAGGAAGAGTTAGAGATCTGTGTGCGGTCGCAGGGCCATGATCTCATTGCAATTACAGAGACATGGTGGGATAGTTCACGTGACTGGGATGCAGTCATGGATGGCTACGTGCTTTTTAGGAAAGACAGGCTAGGAAGGCGAGGTGGTGGAGTTGCTCTTTATGTGAGGGAGCAACTAGAATGTGTGGAGCTCTGCCTCGGGGTGGATGAAGAGCAAGTGGAGAGCCTAGGGATAAGGATTAAAGGGCAGGCTAACATGGGCGACACTGTTGTGGGGGTTTACTACAGGCCACCTGACCAGGAGGAAGTCGTCAATGAGGCCTTCTACAGACAGCTGGAAGTAGCCTCACGATCACAGGCCCTAGTTCTCATGGGAGACTTCAACCACCCCGACATCTGCTGGGAAGCCAGCACAGCTAGGCACAAACAGTCAAAGAGGTTCCTGCAGAGCATTGATGATAATTTCTTGACCCAGGTGGTGGAGACGCCAG